AGTGAGCACACCCCGAGGAGTGAAGGGGGCAGTGGCGGATAAGGTTGGGGTAATATTTTCTTCCAGGGAGGGTGAAATTTACAAAATCTGTTCTCTGTTTCCCTGTGTCAGAGTAGAACTGTGAATTCCAACTTTCAGGCCCTTTCAAGAATAAGGCCAAAAGCAATTAAAGGACCTGGTTAGTGTAGCAGCCTGTAATATTTTATGGTCTGAAAATTGCATTTAAAATTATGTAAGCTTAGTTTGATACGTGGTGAGTTTCCTATAATAAGAAGGAATCCCCAGAGCAGAGGCTGCACTGAACAAACCAAGATAAAATGCTGGATGCAATGTTTTTTCTGTCTGAGCTACACTAATGTCTAAATTCACTCTGGGTAGCCTGAAGAGAAATATATTCTGGTTCTGCTTGACTACAAGCCTTCCTCTGAGCATTTGAGATGTATTCTCCTGGAGTAAGATAGGTTATACTGACAAAATATTTGAAGGATATCCTGAAAAGTTAGAACATGGGTAGGTTTTGTCCTGTGAATGCAGAAAGATTTGATGTTGGAAGCAAGAATGAGAAGAATTGAAAATGCTTTTAATTGTACACAATGACCTGGCAGCTGGAATGCCACCAAACAGGGAGTCCTATCAGCTGGATTTGGAAACTGGAAGAAGAATTTCAACATTTTCATGGAGCTGGCGATCTCTCTCTCGCTTTCTAGTTTGCATCTTCTTCTGTCTTCTCTAAAGCAGTTTATCCTACCGTAAAGACAGAGCTGACTCAAGACTTCTAATTACTGTAAGCCAACCCAAAATTTGTATGGGAAAGGAGCAAAGGAAAGGAGAGGGCAGAGCAGCTTGGGGTTTGGAGGAAGAGTGGAGAACAGCGTGGCAGAAAGTGTAACTTGTTGAGGTTTTTTTCTTGCATCCAGCTTGTGACCTTCTCAAGGCCTTTCCCCCTTCCTTTGGAGGCTGTATTCTCTCTCCCCTTCTCTCACCCTGCAAAGGTGTCTTTGCAGCTGTCTATGCATCCTCATCGTCTGGGAAGAGGAACCTCTGTGTTCCCCCCTTGCTGGCAACCTGTACTGGGCTGTGGAAACTGCTGATGTTGCCCGTGCTTGAAGTTGGCCTTGCTTAAATAGTGGAGATTGGGTTAGTAAACAGACCTTATATGCATGGCTGTAAATGACAGTGCTGCCTAGTAGGACCACTGCTCTGGTCTGTAATGAGAATTACCATTTTCATCAAGTTCCTCATCTTGGACTTCTTCCAGTTCTACTGAACTGTAGTTAGTTCATTATGAACAACAAGTGGTTCATTATAAATGATGAAAATCTTGGCTTCCAAGACTGCCTTTGTAAGTAGTGAGCACTTGAATAAAGTATTTCAAATGGGAAGCTCCAATGCATCTATTGAGGGTTATGTACTTTTTTTTTCTTTTTAAAGAGTGGCAGAAGGGAGCCATAGTACTCCACCCATTTGCTTGCAGAAAGTCTTTCTATAAAGCAAAGTTAGTTGTGGCGCCAGCTGGGAAGACTTCAGCCATCACAGTGTAATGACATTAACCCAGGCATCTCTCAGACTTTCTGTATGAACTAGCAGTTAGTGAAGGAATTTTCCTTAGGGCTCACAAAATTCAGAGAAATATCAAATAACCAGACCCTGAGGAAGGTCTGAAAAATGGAGGAGTATTCTAGGAAAGGATAGAAAAGGCATTTTTGAGCCTGACAGAAGAACTGGGTTTCTTAATACCTTGTATCTTAATACCTTCAACAGCTGTATTAGGGAAAAACAAATTAAAACCACCTTTTCCACATTAATATCACATTATTTATCATCAAACCATGCTAGCTTGTGACGGGCTGAAAATAAAGAAAATGAGATGCTTCCTCATACAACATGTAGCTAAGCTGTGGAAGTCCTTGATGCAGGACTTTGTGGATACAAAATTTTATATGGGTTCAAGGGAAGACTGGGCAACTATGGAAGAGAAATTCACTGAGGTTTCCTCACACTAAAGAAACTACCTCTGTTTTAAAGTCCATGAGGTGCAACTGGTTGTAGTTGTAAGCTAAAAGACTATGAGGGAGGAGGGACATCCCTGTTCTTGTGTTCTATTCTAGGCATCCGCATTTGGCTGGTGTCAGAAACAGGATTTTAGGTGAGGTGGACCTTTGGTCAGCCCAGGAAAGCTATTCTTATGTTCTCATCATAGCATTTCTTTATTTTGACACCTTATAATTTATTCATAGATATGTAAAAGTATAGTTTGTCTTCAAATTTAGTTCTAATTGAGCAATAATCAAAACAATACTTTGAAGGTAACTTTGAATATAAAAGTCAATGTTTAAATATGTGTATTTCTGCTATACCAATAACCTAGACAGATATGGTCAACTGGTGTCTCTCTGCAAAATCTTGCACTTTGGATGACTCTGCCCTGCTTTCAAAACATTCAGGTATCTTTTAGTATGACTGCATAGACCCCAGAGCTTAGGCTTGTGAGTCAATGTGATCTTCAGATGTCTTATGAAAGTCCACACATCTCCAAAACCTGATGTAGCTGCTTAATGCTAGGGTGGGTATCTTTATACTGTTTTGTAAAATGTGTTTTATGTATATCCTAGTAAGTAAACTCCAGGTCAAAGTTGATGTTTTATGCAGGTGAAGGTGAAAAGCATCAAGAATTATGCTAAAACAAAACCACCCTCTGAATTTGGCATTAGAAGTAAGAAGCTGTGTTTGCACCATGGTGCTTAGTTAGCTAAAAAGTTATAATGGTTACCTCGTATAGGCAAGAACTATGTCTATATGTTGAAGGTGCCTCAAAATTATAGGAGAAGTTGGTCCATTTTACAGCTTTGAAAGTGATGTTACCACTTTTTTTCCCCATATTGCGCACATACTCCTCTTTTTTTCTCGTGCTAGATCTTTAGCTAGCTTGTAACCAGGCTGTTTCACTGGATAGCAGTACTGGTATTATTCTAAACTAAGCTCAAGAAAAGGAAGGCAGTTATCTTTGCCCTGGTTTACACTGCCATTACAATGTAAACCAGAGAGCTTAACCACATACATATCCTTGAATTGCTTGGCTTTTAAAGTTTAATCATAGGCCCTTTCTTCTGCACAGCTGAGGTTTCCATGTAATTGGAATGAAGGACATAAGAGCAAAGCACAGCTTTCCCAATGGCAGCGACCAATAGTTGGTTAATACCACTGACATCACTCCTGCCAAAGGAGAAAAATAATCTCTTCAGTAATGTTTCGAGCTCAGAATCAAGACTTCTGGGTTCAGTTTCTGGCTCTGCAACAGACTTCGAACTATTTCACATTCCTTCTGCGTGTTTCCCAACTACAGATGGGAATAATGCTGCTTTTTGTCTTCCCCATTTAAAGGATTAGTTCTTGGAGTGGTGCATCATCCCATCTAGGTGGGGCTTTCCACATGTGACCATAAGGCACAGACAGCACAGTTCCTGCACCCTTTGTGGGATCCTGCAGGAAAAAGGCATAGGATGAGTCAGCAGACTTGTCCCTCCTATTTGGCTGGTCTTTCCTGCATGTATATAACCAGGAGACTCCTCTAGACCAGCAACCTTCTGCTGTCCTCACTCATCTGTCCCCTCCAACCATGGATTTTGAAATTCTCTGACAACCTCTGAGAGATTCAGACACCCATGCATAGGAAATGAATAAGATTCTGGTGGCCATGGCACACAGGGAGATACAATACAGGATCTGGAGGAAACCCATGCCTTTCAGAGCAGCAGATGTTGAAAGCATTTAAAATGGGACTTGCCACCTTGTTTAGGTGCCCAAATTACTCCATCTGTTGCATCCAGACAACATAAACTTTGAAAAGGAAAAGGACATCTTTCTAAGTTGGTTTCTTGGGAGAGCAATTGGCAAAGTGCCATTTTCCATAGCAGGCAGATTCACCGGTCTTAGCTGGGTGGGTAATGCAGAACCATTGGTGACTTTTAGGTCACTTTAAGCTGCTATTTTTTGGCCATTACATTAAAAAGCACAATTGGTCTGGTTTCCTATGGATTCCTAAGTCTTACAAGTGTAGTCTGTCTGTCCACTTCTGCCTGGATCCCAACTTTTCAATGTGACTTTTTAATTCCTTGGTGGTTTTCAACCATGTTCTACCTACAAGTAGTAGCTATAGGGAAGAGAAGCAGAAGCATAAAACATGATTGCATTCCTGTGGGATAAATGAAAACAGGCACCATACAGAGTGGAATGACTCAGACTACTGCCCCACTGAGGGAAAAACTCAGCTGTTTCCACCTTCCAGTGGGTAGCTCAGCACACATGCTGGCTGACTCATCTATGCCCCTCTTGCTAGAGACTGTCTGAAGCATCAGAAGCAGTACAGGGAATATCTGAGGCATTTCTATATTGGGCAGAGTATTAAATTCTGTTCCACTGATGTCAGTGCTAATATTGTATGATTATACTTTGTCGATACTAAGATAACTCTGTATATTTCCAACACATATTTTTTAAATCTCTCTTTCTTGTTTTAGAAAAAAATAGATAAAATGGAGCACATGTTACTGCTATTCATATTTTTCATACCTATATTGGGTCTCACTAACGGAACAGAAACAGAACAAGATTTTACTTGGCACTTAAAGAAGATTCCTCAGATTGTGAGTGAAAGAACTTTCTCCCTTGACAGCCCTAAATTTGAAGCAAAAACCAAATTAGAGCTGAACAGTGTATGTGGAATAGAATGTCAAAGAAAATTGCCGTTGCCAAGCTTGTCTGACTTGAAGGACCTCTTATCCTATGAGACTGTTTTTGAAAACGGCACACGGACCCTGACTGAAGTGAATGTCCTTGGACTAGTGCTTGACCCAGCTGGAAACACAACCACACGAAGGTCTTCAAGAAAGAAGAGGCAGATATATGGAACGGACAGTAGGTTCAGCATCTATGACAAGCGGTTTATGACCAACTTTCCATTCAACACAGCTGTGAAGATCTCCACCGGCTGTAGTGGCATTCTCATTTCCCCCAAGCACGTCCTAACAGCTGCCCACTGTCTGCACAATGGCAAGGATTATGTTAAGGGCAGCAAAAGACTGAGGGTGGGCCTGATGAAAACGAAATCCAGAGGCGATGGCAGGAAACGCAAAGGTGCTAAAAGAAGTAGGAGAGAAGTTTCTGTGGCCCCAGAGGATCCCGAAGTTGCCACAGAACTAAGGCAACAATCCAAAGGTGGTGGGAGAAAACAGAGGAGATCTAGGAGGAAGCAGGGTACCTCAGATGGCATGCCCTCCTTCCAGTGGACCAGGGTGAAGAGTACCCACATCCCAAAAGGCTGGTTTAAGGGTGTCTCTGGCGATATTGCCCTGGATTATGATTATGCTGTTCTTGAGCTCAAGCGTCCCCACAAAAGGAAATACATGGAGCTGGGAATCAGCCCAACCATCAAAATGATGCCTGGAAGCATGATCCACTTCTCAGGTTTTGACAATGATCGAGCTGGGCAGCTGGTCTACAGATTTTGTAGTATTTCTGATGAGTCCAATGACCTCTTTTATCAGTACTGTGATGCTGAGCCCGGCTCCACTGGATCTGGCGTCTATCTCCGTCTTAAGGAACCGAACAAAAAGAAATGGAAACGCAAGATCATTGCTGTTTACTCAGGCCATCAGTGGGTGGATGTCAATGGTGAACAGCAGGATTACAATGTAGCAGTAAGAATTACTCCTCTCAAATATGCCCAGATATGCTTCTGGATACATGGGAATGATGAGAATTGCACACAAGGCTGAAGAGGGCTGAACCTGGCTCGCTTAGCACCCATATGACCACAGAGTGAAAGTCTGCTGCAGCAGTTACTGGAAGAACATCACTCCACGTCAGGATGTTTTTGAACTCAAAGCTCAAAAGTAATGTTATGGTGACTTGAGGAACACTGAATTGCTGGGGGAATGGGTAGAATTCTCAAGCAAAATATTTCTAATTATAATCAAGCCTAGATATGCACTTAAAATCCCAAACTATATTTATGTTTGCAGTTGTGATAAATTCAAATCACTCACAACAGAACAAAAAGAATGAGTATACCTGTTTGTCATTTTTTTTTTCCAAGAGAAGGATTGAAAAATTTTAAATTGGTATTATTAAACAATATCTATTTTTCCAATGGATTTGCTTTTCTCAGGGTTCTGTTCCAATTCTTCAAATGCAAGTTGTGCATACAGCACATTATGTGCAGAATGATCCAGAGAACTGCATGAGACCAAGTCATTATTTTGGCATTCTCTAAAGACCACAGTTCCATGTTGAGAAGCAGCAGTCTAGTTCATGCTTGTTAGTCTGGAAAACTTCCTCCTCTGGTTGCTGCAGGAACAATTCCGTGGAAATCCCAAATTTCTGTAGCTGAAGGTTAGACCTTAAAGACAAGTTTCACTTCATTGCTCAGTAAAAACAGCAGAAAGAAACTAATGAGCGTAGAAGTTTCCATGTTTGGAAGAAGAAGAAGAAATATCAGGACATAATTTAATGCCTTTAAATCTTCTTTGAGGAGCTATAGAAGTCTTAAAACACATGCATTTGCATTCCAATTTGTATTTGGAAAGCTGTAGGTTTAGTTTCTAGTCAATTCTTTAGCTTTACTGTAGGGAGAAGTCACTGACTTCTAAAGTGACTCTGACAATCATTTAGAACTTCACAGATAGATTTTTTGGGTGCTAACCATTTTTCATTTTTTATAAATAACTTTTATAAGAGTTCAGCTTCATAGATAGGATAGTATGTATTAGGCTGGGATTTGGAAAGCAGTATTTTAGTTTGGCTATATACAGTTTTGCAAAATGGGTGGTTTTAATCATATCGTATTCAGACTCCACCTCAACATGAGTTACAAGATTATACTCAAAATTTCTCCCAAGTAAATTATACCACTTCTGAATGGTAGAAGAACTATCCTGTACAATATAACAGATATATTGTTAGGTAGCAGCAGTAGTTAGCAAATAATTTGGTTCAATATGTTTGCTGAACCATATATTTAATGAAAACACAAAGTGAGCTTGACTTTTACACACCTTTAAACACAAATCACCTTTTTAAAAATTGTTGTTGTGTGCTACACAAGTCTATATCTTTTATTTTATCTCAAGATTTTGAAGCGCACAGGATTGTTATGGTGCTATGTTAATCTAATAACATAAAATGATACTGTGTATTTCTGCTCATATTCTTTGGGTTTCAATACTTTTAAGATTATTCACCACTACAATATTTCCATTTTTTTAATCATAAGTTTGTGCTGACCAAAATATGTTTTCTTTCTATGCAGAAGGAAACAATATAACAAGATTTTAAAATACTATTTTTTGATATCTTTAAAATATGCTTGTAATGTCTTTTGATGAAATAAGATAATTTTTAATAACCCTCTTTTTTGTAGATGATTGAAAGTATAAAACCTGACACCTTGAACGTGCAGGCAACTTTCTTTGTCATATTATTGCCAAAGCCAAAATTTAAGACTTGTTTCTATACCATAACTCGATAACAATATTTCATTAATTGGAAGAGATCTCACTTTAAAATAAACTATTTATTTTAATATCAACCTTTCCAGGGAACACTTAACTTAAAAAAAAAAAAAAAATATTTTATGTGATTGTTTGCAGAAACCTAATAATTTTTAAATTTCAGAAATTAATGTCTAAGATTTTAAGTTTTGTTTTTTTTTTTTTAATTGTTAACATCTCTTTCAAGATGTACGGCTTCGCTGACAGCAAGTTTAAATCACCTCAGTCCCGTATTTAATACTCTCATCTATGCAACAGGCCTACAGTACTCTTTAGTCAGCTCTATAATGTTTTTCTTAAGTGCCTTTTTCCATAGGTACTGTGACAAATAAGGTACCACATCGTTAATCCAATACAAATCAACCTAGGCCTATGGATTTTGTTACAACTACTCTCATTGTTGATTTGGGTTCAAAACTGATCAAGATAAGGTGGCTTAGTAAATTCCTTGTTTTGGTGAGTCTTATTTAGGTGTGCTCTTTAGGAGCAGAAATATAATCTATTTCTTTGTTAGTTTGGGAATCAGGGACAAGGTAAGAATGAAAAATGTTGATGTCAGCTTTCAAATGATCTTGTTATGACAATGATCTGCTATAAATACCTCAGCCATGACCTGAAGTTCTCATACCAGGCTGATAACAAATGTTTGTGCTCAGAGGATAAGTATTAGATGCTCAGTGCCTCATTGGATGGTACTAAGAGATTAAAGAGGCTGGCCAGAGCAACATAAAAATTAATCAGAACTGTATATGTATGCAGGCCTCTGTGTCTGAGTGCACATGCACAAACACATGCAAATGTATGGGCTTGTAGAGCACGTGCCATTTTGACGGGTCAGCGCCTTCGGGCAAGGGAATGCAGGCACAAGAAGGCACGGACAAAATGTTATTCCTCTTGTATCTTCATGCCAGGCAACACTTCAGTCTGCCACTTGGCCTAATAGAGAAGGAAATTATTTATGTAGTCATTGTGACTGCTTACTTTAGGGACTTCTGAAATAGTCCATAAATCAAGTACTTACACACAACCCCAGGAGGTCAATGTCCTGCACAGAGCTCTTGAGACCAGCCATTGCAAATGGGACAAGAATTTCTGAGCTGTGATCATCTCAGATTTCCTTAAAAAACTGCAGTTAGTATCTAGCTGTCAATGAGAAAATATGAGGAGGTGGTGTTCTTAGTAGCTCAGATCTGCTGTTGTCTAGGAAATTAGCATCAAGGCTGTGTTCCCGGCCCAGAAGGGGACAGAGCCTTTGTGAGGTTTCTCCCAAGGTTTTTTCCCTCTTTCAAGTACTGGGCTGTACATAACTTTTTTGTATCAGAACTAATGCTTTTCCATAAGAGTTGCTGTTGTACATCTTTTTCTTTAACTGTATTCCTGGCTTTAGGAAAAAACAAACTCAGTCAAATCCCTTTGCTGCCAGGGGGCTACTGGCAATTTGTGAAGTCAACAAGTAAGTTTTTCCTGGGCCAAAGATTAAGCTCATACACAAATCGTTAACACACGCAGACCAGCTTCCGCAAGGCATCTGTGCATGCATTTAATTTGGGGTTTTGAGACACACGATAGAAGTCAAGGGGACTATCTGCAATGTGAAAAATTAAGTCTAAGTTTGTATTATCTTCAGAAAAACACAGTGTTAGGTAGCAAAATTATTTCCATTGTATGAAGTATAGAGTATCTAATGCTTTAAAAATTGTTTAGAGAAATTTCTTGACTCAGTTTATAATTTACCATCCAAATGTTGCAGATTTATGAGTCTGTATGGAGTATGAATCAGACCAGAATATGGCTTAATTAAAAAAAATAATTCATCTACATCATGTGGAGGAGAGAAGCAGCTGGGGAGTTCCTCCTATTCTACTGATAACATGACCTGGCAGCAAACAGCAGTTAAGGCAGAAAGAGAGAGCAAGAGAAGTAGGTGGAATGGAAGACCAGGAAGATGGAGGTGATATGCAAGGGATAAAGAAAGTGTGAAAATAAACAGATGAAATGTCTGCAAGGTAGTAGAAGGACCTATTGTAAGAAAGAGTAGGCAGCTGATAAAGGCAGAACAGTATTAATTAAGATTTAAAAGTCACAAATTACACGAACAATCTCCTTTCGCTGTTAAAGATGATGCTCTTCTTCCCAGCCAACAGCACCAAAAGTTTTGTGAGAGGGCTTAGGTTCTGGCAGGGACCACTAGCAGGCAGAGGTTTTTGACCCTGATCTACAATCCCTGCCTAAAGTTGTAGGGATTACGTTTGTGCTTGTTTAGGGTCCTTGGGAAGCAACAGATCCATGTTCTGGCCAAAAACCTTGGCAGTGTGAATCTCCCAGCACAGAGTCACCAAGAGTGTGGTGAGTAAAGGGAGTTTCTTTCACTTGAAAAGTTTCTCAAACCTGACATTTTGTTGTGATTCCTATAAAGGCTGTTCCCCACTGGGGAAAAAAAAAAGAAAAAGAAAAAAAAACCAAACACAAAACCACCACAAACCAAAAACAACAACAAAGAAAACATCTCAAACTTGAAGCATTTAATTGTTGCCTCCAATTTCTGCATGTACCTTCAAATTCTAGCCAATACGTTTATTCAAACACCTTCCATTTGTGTTTGGTATCTTTGTAGAAAACTGCTTTTAATTTTACAGCACAGAATATTGCAGATACTTCCATCTACAAATTCCTGGATTAAAGAATGAAGGGGAAATAAAAATAAAGAATATTGTTAAATTGAAAGCTTAAAATTGCACACTAATCTCAAAGGATTTGGAAGTACATTTGAATCCCTGTTTCACCAGCCTTTCGCTCCGAGTGTGAGATAGCATTTAGGTTTAAAACCTCCAGAGGTAGCTTTGATAATTCCTCAATGTTCTTAGCTTTTTAAAAACTGAGAGCCAACTTCAAAAATGTGTTTTTATAATGTTTTTAACTGCACAAAATGATAACTCATTTGGGAAAATTAAATGCAAACCTTTGTTATATTAAGATATTATATGATGCACATACTATGTCAATAAATATTTTCTGTTGTTTTTCTTTTCCTCTGTCATGATGTAGTTTGTTAGCTATGGTGGTGTTACACAAACTCCATTCTGTAAATGCTTGTAACAGATTATCAGTGAATCATCTGGGATGTGGTCTTACAAGATATTAATGTCTCTTTAAATTTGTTCTGGGAAAAAAACCTCCCTGTCTACTCCTTTCTTCGAGATAATTATTCCATGAGCAAATTTGATGAGTAAAAAAAAAGTTGGTTCAGCAAGGAAATGACTCACAGATTATGCCACAATTTATTAATTCTGAAATAAGTAATTAGTTCTGTTTCTGCTATTAGCTATTGTTGTATTTTCTACCCCTGACAGCTGTTGAAGCAGGCCGAATTAGAAGTGTGTAAAATATTATAACCTCAGTTCTCAGCATTATCTTAACTCTGTGCCCTAGAAACCACTGCTGATTTGATCCCTGACAGAAAGAGGAGAGATTTTTGGCAAGGATGGGAGCTGCTGGAAATATTTA